GGTTGTTGTCTGTTCATCTATGGACTTTAGTCTTGTTCAGAGCTGAAAACTAGCGGAAGGTTCTGGTTGTCTGTTCATCTATGGACTTTAGTCTTGTTCAGAGCTGAAAACTAGCGGAAGGTTCTGGTTGTCTGTTCATCTATGGACTTTAGTCTTGTTCAGAGCTGAAAACTAGCGGAAGGTTCTGGTTGTCTGTTCATCTATGGACTTTAGTCTTGTTCAGAGCTGAAAACTAGCGGAAGGTTCTGGTTGTCTGTTCATCTATGGACTTTAGTCTTGTTCAGAGCTGAAAACTAGCGGAAGGTTCTGGTTGTCTGTTCATCTATGGACTTTAGTCTTGTTCAGAGCTGAAAACTAGCGGAAGGTTCTGGTTTTTAGTCTTGTTCAGAGCTGAAAACTAGCGGAAGGTTCTGGTTGTCTGTTCATCTATGGACTTTAGTCTTGTTCAGAGCTGAAAACTAGCGGAAGGTTCTGGTTGTCTGTTCATCTATGGACTTTAGTCTTGTTCAGAGCTGAAAACTAGCGGAAGGTTCTGGTTGTCTGTTCATCTATGGACTTTAGTCTTGTTCAGAGCTGAAAACTAGCGGAAGGTTCTGGTTGTCTGTTCATCTATGGACTTTAGTCTTGTTCAGAGCTGAAAACTAGCGGAAGGTTCTGGTTGTCTGTTCATCTATGGACTTTAGTCTTGTTCAGAGCTGAAAACTAGCGGAAGGTTCTGGTTGTCTGTTCATCTATGGACTTTAGTCTTGTTCAGAGCTGAAAACTAGCGGAAGGTTCTGGTTGTCTGTTCATCTATGGACTTTAGTCTTGTTCAGAGCTGAAAACTAGCGGAAGGTTCTGGTTGTCTGTTCATCTATGGACTTTAGTCTTGTTCAGAGCTGAAAACTAGCGGAAGGTTCTGGTTGTCTGTTCATCTATGGACTTTAGTCTTGTTCAGAGCTGAAAACTAGCGGAAGGTTCTGGTTGTCTGTTCATCTATAGGACTTTAGTCTTGTTCAGAGCTGAAAACTAGCGGAAGGTTCTGGTTGTCTGTTCATCTATGGACTTTAGTCTTGTTCAGAGCTGAAAACTAGCGGAAGGTTCTGGTTGTCTGTTCATCTATGGACTTTAGTCTTGTTCAGAGCTGAAAACTAGCGGAAGGTTCTGGTTGTCTGTTCATCTATGGACTTTAGTCTTGTTCAGAGCTGAAAACTAGCGGAAGGTTCTGGTTGTCTGTTCATCTATGGACTTTAGTCTTGTTCAGAGCTGAAAACTAGCGGAAGGTTCTGGTTGTCTGTTCATCTATGGACTTTAGTCTTGTTCAGAGCTGAAAACTAGCGGAAGGTTCTGGTTGTCTGTTCATCTATGGACTTTAGTCTTGTTCAGAGCTGAAAACTAGCGGAAGGTTCTGGTTGTCTGTTCATCTATGGACTTTAGTCTTGTTTAGAGCTGAAAACTAGCGGAAGGTTCTGGTTGTCTGTTCATCTATGGACTTTAGTCTTGTTCAGAGCTGAAAACTAGCGGAAGGTTCTGGTTGTCTGTTCATCTATGGACTTTAGTCTTGTTCAGAGCTGAAAACTAGCGGAAGGTTCTGGTTGTCTGTTCATCTATGGACTTTAGTCTTGTTCAGAGCTGAAAACTAGCGGAAGGTTCTGGTTGTCTGTTCATCTATGGACTTTAGTCTTGTTCAGATCTGACTTGAATGCAGATTGTTAGTTCCTTGCTTCTCAGGCAAATGCATTCCCGTCTCGAAAGAAGCCCCCTAGTTAGTCTACTCTTATGACATACTTTTTAGGAAAGAAATGTAAATTAGCTCTTTTTTTTTTTTTTTTTTTAATGAGTTGAGTGGATTCAAGAAATGACATCAAAGCACTCAGGGCATTCCCATAAGCGCTCCATCCCCATTCTTCAGCAGCCAATGCTGAGTTCAAATACCAATGGTACTAATAGCAGTCTGATCAAAAATCCATCTTGCCTTTCCTCTGATCATTGAGTATCAGCCAATCCCCTGGTCACTCCTCACAGCATCACTCTCACTAGACTGATCAATTTGCTGTTCCGAATTGTACACATGCTCACATAAGGCTTTAACCATGACTGCCTTATTATGCCTCAATATTCCACCAAATTATGCACAGCCATCCAGTCTGTCCACCTGTTCATTTCCCAACACACCAGCATTCCCGGAGAAAAAATCAGACAATGCTCTTCATATGTGACCAACAAAGCAAAGCATACCACTTTCTTTTTATTGCCAGTCTCTTCGGAGCCTCTGTTTTTTATTGTTACTTCTGTTCAAAATGGATCCCCCCCATTCCCCCTCCCCACCCCCTCCTTGGCCAATAATACATTCCCTTTTCATTCTGAGAGTCATTTTTTTCAGTGTGTTGCCTGAGAACTCCCCACAAAAACTCTTGGCATAAGCTCGAGAATAGAACGCATATATAGGTATATACACTTATACAAACTAAAAATGAATACTAGAGAAGAAATATTTTAAAATTAATTATTAATTAATATCCGCAGTATTCTTCTTGTCCACCCAGTATATTAGCAATATTATCCTTGTCCATCCAGTATATTAGCAATATTCTTCTTATCCACCAAGTATATTCGCAAAATTATCCTTGTATACCCTGGATATCCACAGTATTCATCTTGTCCACCCAGTATATTAGCAATATTATCTTTGTCCATCCAGCATATTAGCAATATTTTTTCTTGTCCACTCAGTATATTTGCAATATTTTTTGTTCACTCTGTATATTCGCAATACTCTGTATATTCGCAATATTCTGTATATTCATCCAGTATATTCGAATAATTTATCTTGTCCACCCAATATATTAGCAATATTATCCTTGACCACCTAGGATATTCACAGTATTCTTCTTGTCCACTCCGGATATCTGCAGTATTCTTCTTGTCCACCTAGTAGATTAGCAATATTATCCTTGTCTATCCAGTATATTAGCAATATTATCCTTGTCTATCCAGTATATTAGCAATATTATCCTTGTCTATCTAGTATATTAGCAATATTATCCTTGTCTATCCAGTATATTAAATGATAGAAATTGTGGTGTTAGAAAGTGGAAGAATGGGCCTCAGTTTGAATAATGGGAAGACAGAAGTAATGGTGGTATCAAAGAAACAAATTATTCCTAAATGTGTAATAAAAGTCAATGGTGTTATTTTAAGACAAGTACAGAAATTTAAGTATCTGGGCACATGGATAACATCAGATGGAAGATGCATAACTGAAATAAGAAACAGAATTGGACAGGCAAAAACTGCATTTTATAAAATGAAAAACATCTTGTGCAATATATCCTTGTCATTGAGAGTTAGAAAAAGAATTCTTGCTTGCTACATACATCCAGTTTTAACATATGGATGTGAATCCTGGACAATCGGTAGGCAGGCCAAACAATTTTTAGAGGCATCAGAGATGTGGTTTTACAGAAGAATGCTTAGAATACCTTGGACAGCCAAAAAGAGCAACCAAGAGGTTTTAAAAGAGGCGGGAGCCCGAAGACAACTTATCACTGACATCAGAAGGAGACAGTCATCATTTTTCGGCCATGTTATGAGAAAAAGGAAAATAGAACGTATATTAGAAATATTATCCTTGTCCATCCAGTATATTAGAAATATTATCCTTGTCTATCCAGTATATTAGAAATATTATCCTTGTCCATCCAGTATATTAGCAATATTCTTCTTATCCACTCACTATATTCTCAATATTATTCTTGTCCACCCTGGATATCCGCAGTATTCTTCTTGTGCTCCGAGTTTATTAGCAATAATATCATTTTTCATCCAGTATATAAGCAATATTTTTCTTGTCCACCCAGAATAGTTGCATTATTCTTCATGTCCACCCAGTATATTCACAATTTTTTTTTTCCACCAAGGATATTCAAAATATTCTTCTTGTTCTCCCAGTATATTTGCACTATTTTGTGAATGGGAGTCCATTTTGAATATGTAATTTTTAAATTATAAAATGTTAACATCACATATATTATAAGGTATACTAAACTAGCTAACGAAGAGATCGTAGGACATACAGTGAAGCATTTAAGCATTGTTTTTCTTTTTTATCTTTGAGATGCTGCTCCGCGAAAACACAACATACTGAACATAAATCCAAAGAGAATCACATGAGGAACATTAAATCTTTTCCAAGAAAACATCACTTATAAGTAAATCAAAAGTGAAGGTAAAATCACTTTTTATTGTTACTCACTGACGCCAAAAAGAAAACCTAACACACATGAAACACATGTAACATCCCTTTTGCATTTGCCTAAGGAAGTGATGTCACCAAATTTGCCGCAAAGCCTTTCAGTACAGATAGCCTAGGTCAACCAAGTGTCAGGCTATAAAAATACAGGGATGTAAGCCAGTTGGTACTATGGTGCGGTCTTATTTTTTAAATTGCTTACCTTCCTTACTCTTTTTTTTAAAAATATGTTTGTGCTTTCAATGATAAAATGATTTTATGTGATTTTCTTGTGCGTGTGACACATGTAAACAAAATTTGTATACTAATGATTTGTTTCCCCGATGAATATCAGAAAAAGAAATGGAAATTATGGACCCCTTTGTCATAAAAAATTATACTTCTTTACGTCCTTCTTAGGACGTAATTTTTTGTTATTTGAAGCCCCACTCTGGCTTTTGCCAGGGTCTGCAATATAGGCAGGCCATCAATATGGTCAATTGTCTGAACCCGGTTTCTGGGACCTCTCCACGGTGATCCTCATCCACATGGTGGCACTTTTTGTCATCGGGTATTTATCGCTTGTGTGATGTCCTAGTGGGGTAGAAAGTCAGTCAGTCAGTCATGGACCTTGGCTTTGTTTTTTCCTAGGTCACCGGGGAAAGGCTTAAACACATCTGTTCATTATCAGATCCTGGAAAACCAACTATCATTCCAAACCAAAGAAACATGATTGCAGAAGTGAAAAATGATGTGAAGTATCATAATAACACAAATTTAGAAGACTTACTTTCCATCAATTTTTGCAGGCTTGATCTCATGACATGGATGTTTTCAATTCCCAGGAACTGGAATTTGATGTTACTGTAAAAGCTCTCTTTTTCATACCCCTTTCCTTGTGCCAAGTTAAACACGGCATTAATCTGGGGAGAAAAATTATCCACTGTAAACTTTATGAAAACATTCTAAACCATAACAGTTTAAATTTAACTGTCTTTACAGTTTGTACTTGTGGTGTTGATGTGTTCATAAATTTGTGCAAATGGAACTGCTTTTACAGCCTGTACTTGTGGAGACGATGTGTACCTGACTATTGGGCAAAATAAGTGGGACTGTTTTCTCTTTGAGTGGCAGATAATGTGCAGTCAATGACTTTTACTTAACTGAATGCAAATCATGAGACTGTTGTTAGGGAGCTTGAAATTAATAATGAAACCCAAGACTGAATGAGTTTCCTGTGTGGGTTCCGGGGTCCCGTTGTGGGAAAAACCAGAATAGACTCACTGCCTCCCCAACAAGTAGTTTGTAGTAATCGACTAATTAGGGGTTTACTTCAAAGTCAGAGCGCATCTACCTGAGAGTCAAGGAACCATTAGTCTACACACAAATAAACCATATCTGTAAAACATATGTGCATGCAACACTCAGGTTCTGCAACAAGATTAAAGTTCAGAGGTGGACGAAGAACCAGAACTTTCCGCCGGAGTTTAGAGTTGGTGAACGAGAAGAATCTGAGCAAAAGTGTTTTATTATACTGGGTGAGGATATCTGGTGATGCCATCTGGAAAGACAAAGGGAAAGGTAACATATGATAAAATTAAGCTGAGCGTTTTGGCAGACAATACAAAGAACCTGTGTTGATCAAATGAAAGGAGCAGTTTCAAACAACTGTTGACACTTGTTATGGTGACGTAGGACAGAGGGAAGCCCTGAGCCTGAAAACTGAGGGCAAGTACGACTAGTACAGTTACGACGGGCACATCATTAACAGTGATGATGCATTTCGAATTATTTACAATTCGGCCAACCGTAGATTACTCCGATATGCAGAAGCTTCAGAGATCAGCCGGTTGAAACCAAAACTCTGTAGGCAGAAATAAATGGTCGTTACCTTACGGTTACCTTGGGGAAACAGACAGCTCAGATTGTACTCGAATTTGTGTTTCAGTTTCTAGGATGCAGCTATTTGCTTCGCTTTAATCAATTGTTACTGTAGTATGCACCTGACGAGATACAGCAAAATATGCCAGGCAATAAATTGTGCAGTCTATTGTTTGTGACTTCTTTGCTCAAGTTTCATATATGGCAAGTGATATACTGTTGTTCCTAACAGTTTCATATGTGGCAAGTGTTGCACTGTTGTCCCTAACAGTTTCATATGTGGCAAGTGTTGCACTGTTGTCCCTAACAGTTTCATGTATGGCAAGTGTTATACTGTTGTGCCTATCAATTTCAAATGTAGCAAGTGTTATACTGTTGTCCCTAACATTTTCATTTGTAGCAAGTGTTGCATTGTTGTCTCTAACAGTTTCATATGTGGCAAGAGTTATACTGTTGTCCCTAACAGTTTCATATATGGCAAGTGTTGCACTGTTGTCCCTAACAGATTTTTATGTGGCAAGTGTTGCACTGTTGTCCCTAACAGTTTCATATGTGGCAAGTGTTGCACTGTTGTCCCTAAAATTTTCATATATGGCAAGTGTTATGCTGTTGTCCCTAACAGTTTCACATGTAGCAAGTGTTATACTGATGTCCCTAACAGTTTTATAAGTAGCAAGTGTTATACTGTTGTCCCTAACAGTTTCATATGTGGCAAGTGTTGCACTGTTGTCCCTAACATTTTCATATGTGGCAAGTGTTGCACTGTTGTCCCTAACATTTTCATATGTGGCAAGTGTTGCACTGTTGTCCCTAACAGTTTCATATGTAGCAAGTGTTATACTGTTGTCCCTAACAGTTTCATATGTGGCAAGTGTTGCACTGTGTCCCAAACAGTTTCACATGTGGCAAGTGTTGCACTGTTGTCCCTAACATTTTCATATGTGGCAAGTGTTTCACTGTGTCCCTAACAGTTTCATATGTGGCAAGTGTTACACTGTGTCCCTAACAGGAGAAAATTACGGGCGGAAGGGGAGTTGGGCAAAGGAACTAAACACCATTAGACACACAGAAATTTCATTACTTTAAAAAAAGACTCAGCAAGCAGGTCATGACTGCTAAACGGCCCGTGGATAATAATTGCTGGAGATTGACTATTAAGTCATGTATAAGTCATTGCCGGTCCCAAGCCTATTTAAGAAAGGAGGAGGGTTAAGTGTGAAGCCACCCAGTAAAAGCATACAGTATGCTACAGAAATTCTTTGAATAAGGAGAGGCTCAAGTTTCTAGACTGGATCACATCCATGATGTTTAAACACTTACAACATATAGAATAGAAGGGAAGAACAATCTGTGAGCTTCCTGTGAAGTATAATGGCACAACAAGAGGTTGTTTATGATGATAATGTATGCATATAGATTATATGAATTTACGTGTAGGATTTTTCAAGGGTCAATATTTTAGTTAACATTGACTTGTAGATTTGCATCAGTGAATGCACATGCCGTGGCTGGAATGGAGTTTATGCACGTCAATGCCATAAAAGCAGTTTCACAATTGCCATTACGGCAGAGACGATATCAGACCTCACCTCCCCAATAATATACAAACTCAAAATAATGAGCAAGAAAAAACAGACAGCCGGGAATTACCGGAAGCATCTTCTTACGCAAGTCCGCAAAGTCCTGTTAAAATCTAAGGTTATAGCCGGGGATTGCGATTTCATTTATTCGGGATGGTTTTCTCTAGACTGATCGGGTTTCAGACAATTTATATTAGATAGCCTACAGTCTAGGAAATCGAAGTCTCACGCGAGGGAAAGCTCAAGTGGTCTGGTGAAGATAAAAAGAACGTTCTGCAATCTATGAGAAGATGAGTTTATAATATGTTAAGAATGTCGCCTGGCGTACAGCTGGAAAAGAACATTACAGATACTTGTTACAATAATAATTATTATTATTTAGGTAGCTGTCCATTATTTTTGTCGTATACGTTATTTAAGGCGCCGGTGTGTGTATGAATATGTTCCAGAATAAATGGACTGTCGCCTCTTTGAGTGGCAGAAAATGTGCGGGCACCGACTTTTACTTAGAGTCGAATGCTATCTATGGGACTGTTTTAGTGAGCTAGAGAATGACAATGAATCCGAAGACTGAATCTGAGCTAAATGTCATATTCCATTGGAGCAGGATGTCTGGCTATGCAATCCGGAATTAAAAACGATGAACTAAATGAGGAAATAAAATTGGAGGTTCTGGCCTCTAAAGAAGCTTCTTTGTTAGCAGACAATAGGAAAAAATGGCTTTGTCAGACAACGGGGGAGCTGCAGAGACCTGGTGACAAAGCTTCCCTGATAATAAAAAGATTAGCAAAACCAAGACACGTATACGAGTAATTAAGTATCCCAGCCATATTCTCAAACCACAGACATACATTTTTAACCATCTCTGTTAGTGTGGCTCAGTGAAGTTCATACCAGAGACAACATTGCAGATATAGATAATCTATTTCAAGCGAACGAAAGAAGAAGAAGAAGAAGAAGAAGAAGAAGAAGAAGAAGAAGAAGAAGAAGAAGAAGAACGAACGAACGAACGAACGAACCAACGAACAAACTTTATTTTCAAAGGGTTACAAATTGGGCACGCAGGCCTGTCTGACATTTGGCCCTTCTAAGCACTCATTTTTCAGAGTACCAATGCCTGTTATAGAATAATGCATACACACATCATGTGTCCACAATCTTACACACTCACACACACGTATATATACTCCTAAATTTTCATGCATGCACATTCATATACAAACATACCTAATACATACATACACGCATCTACACACAGACACAAACAGAAAAGACACACACATACACATATTGACATACATGCACAAACACATTCATTCCATACATACACACCTACACATGCATGCATGCATACATACACACACATACAATCACATTTACAGACACCCACAGACGCCCACAACCACACATTTACACTCACATGCATACATACATACATACACACATCTATACATACACCTACATCTTTACACACATACATACATACTTGCATTCATACCTAAATACATACACACACATACACTGACACACACACACATGCACGCACGCACGCACACACGCACGCGCACGCACACGCAGACAGACAGACAGACAGACAACTGGTAACTAATCATTTTTAATGGAAGTAGACGGAACCTTATCATTCACTGTTTGTCACGCAGTTTGAATAAAATAAACTTATGAAAATATGAAGCAACTTTTGAAGTTAATAAACTACGATCATCAATCATTGTTAGTCACTTGGCGGTGACTAAAAATAGTCGCTCTTTTGCATTTACTACAGGATAGATACACTCGTATAGTGCCTGAATAATGACCAAGTTGTTTCAAATTTGCCTTTTAAAAACATTACAACTGAACCGAAAAAGTGAGAAAAAAAAAGATGGCGGGGGCGCTTAAAGGCTGGGATTTTTTTTCAAGTGGACTTGGACTTCTAGTTTTTCCCCCTGGTCTCTGGTGCATTGTTGCGCACGTAAAAAATGCCTTGGCACTTCGGACATCGAAAAGAGTATGGACAAAATTTGGAGTTTAAAATCTACCTAAAGTATTTCAGGATCCTCGCCTGTGCTACAGAGCCTGTGCACTGTGCTAAGCTTTTTCGGATTCAGGCTTGAGTTAAAAGAAGAACGGGGCTCTTATGGGATACTACCCGTGCGTCATGGTGTTGATCCGTTGTTCAAACCTCATACAAATGAACTTGAGCTGAAATATGTTGGCCATATCAAGCGTTTCAAGCCGACTGAAAGAAAAAAGAAATTACAATTGCAGACCAAAACGAAGATGGGCACAGGATATAACTCCTTGGATATGAAAATGCAGGAGGCGGCAGGGCTGTCGAGCAACCAGAGTTTCTTTCAGACAGACCGGGATGACAGCGACGTTATGCAACGGACCTGCCACGCGATGACGATGTCTGAACTTCAAATAATGTTTTCACTTGTTTCTATCAGTTTATGTTGAAA